GGGAGCCGGTCACAGTTCCCGTTTAAGCATAATACTCAGGGTGTCAGTTTCAGTGGACTGGTGTCAATAGTTCCAGTTAACACCAATCACACTGTAAGTGGTTGTAGTTGACACCAATGATATCTAGTTTCAGTGCATTGGCAGCAATACTTCTAGTTGACACCTATGGGATTGAGTTTCAGTCCATTGGTTTCAATAGTTCTAGTTGACACCAATCAGATTGAGCTTCAGGCCAGTGGTGTAAGCAGCTGAACTTGACACCAATGATATGTAGTTTCAGTGTACTGGTACACGTAGTTGTAGTTGTAGTTGTAGTTGAGTTTCACTACAAAGGACTGTTGTCAATAGCTCTAGCCGACACCATTGGGATTGAGTTCCAGTGAATTCGCGTCTGTAGTTCTTGTTGGCACCAATGACATTGAGATTGGTGTCATTGGTCCTTGTTGCCACGCGTTAGTGGTGTCAGTATCTTTAGCCGACTCCAATCAGATTGAGTTTAAGTTCTGTGGTGTCGGTCGTTGTAGTTGACACCCATGACATTGAGTTTCAGTGCCCTGGTGTCAATAAGGTTCTAGATTCTAGTTAACACCAATCACGCTGTGAGTGGTTGCGGTTGGCACCAATGATATCTAGATTCCGTTCATCGGTATCAATTGTTGTAGTTGACACCAATGGGATTCAGAGTTTCAGTGCAGTGGTGTAAGTAGCTGTAGGTGACACCAGTGATGTCTAGTTTCAGTGCACTGATGTTAATAGTTGTAGTTGGCGCCAATGCGATTGAGTTTCAGTGCTTTGGTTGCAATGGTTCTAGTTGACACCAATGAGATTGGGGTTCATAGGATTGGTGTCAATAGTTCTTGTTACGGCGCGTTACTGGTGTCAATAGCTCTAGGCGTCACCAACCAGATTTAGGTTCAGTGCACTGGTGTCAATAGTTGTAGTTAACACAAATTAGATTCAGTTTCAATGGATTGTTGGGATTAGTTCTTGTTGGCACGCGTTACTAGTGTCAATAGCTATAGCCGCAACCAATCAGCTTGTGGGTCAGTACACTGGTGTAAATAGTTGTAGTTGACACCAATGAGATTGAGTTTCAGTGCTTTGGTTGCAATGGTTCTACAGACGACAAAAACATACTTAATTTTCTTCGAAATATGTAATCGAGGCGTATCTCTGCCCTGAAGCCTTTTTCGGAGATGATTCTATGACATAAAGTGTAGAGAGTTAAATTTTGCATTAGCTCATAAAATCCTGTTACTGGTTACTGTTTTTGATACTTTTAATGACTAAAACTGGAAGCTTCATATAGCGTATAAAGTCCGCTATTTTAATTTTCTCAAAATATTTTAGTTAAAATGAAATGACAGAGCATATCAATACCGTCATAATCATTTGGACTAGTGATCAGAAATAGCGAATTGATTTGATAGATTTTGTCTCAGCAAATGAAAAGATTCTGTGCAAGTGGTAAACAGTTGCTAGAAAAGAAATCTCAGTCATATCGAGACCTCGAGCTTAAAGACTACAGTATGAAGGTTTCTCAAGACTTCTCGTCTCAGTTACAATTATATAGATTTAGATGAACTTCAGTCGTTTTTAGCAGCTGCACCTATTTTTGAATTATACTAAGTTTTAACAGAGCATATTGTTTGTCATCTGATTAAAGATAAAATATCACTTTTATTAATAGAGAGCCAATATTGGGACTCTTATAATTAATTGTTCATATTGAACACATTACAATAGTAATTACAACACTGGTGACAAGGACATTAGGTGCGGATATGCGGATATGAAATTTAGGTGGTGATTGAATCAATGAACATAAAGTCATAATTAATATCAATGAGGAACAATTAATTGTAGATAAACATCATTATCAAGGCTCTAGTTAACGCCGTATTGAATTGCTGTATTGAAACACCTATGAACAGAAACAAACCAATTAGAATTTTGTAAACTCCTACAGAGCGCTGTCATAATCCGGATACAGAATGTATTCGTATGAAGTACATATTCTTCTTGCACGAATACATTGATACATATGAATATATCTATGTCCTACATACGGAGTCTGTACCCGGTTTTAAATATGTATATTTATGAATTCTTTAGGTTCTGGGATTTCACTAGGTATAGAGTCTGTATCGGGTACTCAAAAAGGTTTTGTTTCTATACTATAAGCACTGTGTGTGACTAAGGAGATATCCAATAATACTCATCCAGAGTATGTTTCATTCAAGTCTGTGAGACAGCAGCAAGATAAAAGCTTCAATCTACGTAGGTCCACGTATTCGTCAGCACGTGCGGTAAGGGTAACAAGGTATCTTGTGACTCACTAACACGAAACGCCCCCTCCCCCTCCTCGCGCGAACATGGCCACAAGCTCTTTTCACAGTACCATGCATTGATACTCATATACGTGTACGATGCGTTGCAAAAATTCTGGACAGACCTTTTTACTATTTTATAATTCTCACGGACCCTCGCCATTTTTCTTTCAAATGATATGAAAGTACCATGTGTAAAGATTCAAAAAATGAATTTCAAACTTTTGTGGAGATGGAAATATTAGCTTCAAAAATGGTTTCACGAATAAAAGAACACGAAAACAATAAAAGTTTTTCTTTCATAACAGGCTTAGAGAGAAGGAGTATCTCTATAAAACCACGTATGCAGCAGCTCAGAGAGGCTTTTTGGGCACACGAGACAGACTTTGTATCAAGCAAAATCTGAAACTGTATTTACGTATATAGATAAAGATGTACATAATGTATATATATTCAGGACACATGAACACATATATGGTTCGTATTCTTACCCTGCACTGTAAAAAATAAAGTGTGAAAATGACACACTGAAAGTGAACGTCAAGCGATTCTCAGTGACTGTCTAGAATGCAAGGCGTAGGTGTATAAAATACACACTGACAAATGACCGTCTAACTATACACACTGAGACCGATGATATAGTCTTAGTTGTGTCTAAACCGTTTGTGCTGAAAATACTTCTGATTCACTAATTAGTAGTTCGAATTTTACATACCAACGTTTTTTTCTCGCTTTTTTTAAATTATCTGTTCTGGCTAAAAATCCCAATATATACACTTTCGAAGACAGTGATCACAGTTCTGAAATTATTTTTTCATTTGGTACTGTAATTGAAGAGAATAATGAAAAGTGATGAAAGATTTTAACACACTTAGCTGATTACTCACTGAGATTGACCGTCTAGAAAAGTGCACACTTTTCGATGTTTTACACACCCAGTAACACACTTTACTTTTTACAGTGTGGGCCTGTTATTCCAGCAGCATACCGTATCCGTATTATGACATCTCTGCTTTCATATGAAAGAATTAGCTTAAGTATGAAGAAATTTTGCAATAGAAAATGGGGTTTCATCGCACTTTCACGATCATCAGAGTATATAACCTAGATTAGATCAGTCTCGCAGTGACAGTTACAACATTGTTTTGTAGGACGGTCGTAGTTTTACTTCATATCAGCCCTTATCCATTTTTTATAGTTTTTCATTACGCAAAACTAAAGTTAATGTATTTTGTCGATCACGAAGTCTTCATCGTCTATCAATAAAACAGGATTTAACAAGTCTAGAAAATCAACAAAAATACTTTGATTTCTGAAAAGGTATATTTTAGATCAATTATGACTGAATTACGAATTTACTGATTTTACTCAAAAATAGATAAAATTTGTTATTTCACCTTAAGGGGATAGACTTGTTTAATCTTATTTTGTTATTTTACGTATAAAAAGTTTTAGTTTAGTTTTATCATCTAAAAATTATACATTTTGTGTATGGTAGAATTCCATATGGGTGATAAGTTTGTATTAAACATTAGATTATCTCCTAAAACCTAACAAAGAATAAACATCAACGGAAATAAAACTTAAAACAAATTAATTTTACATTATGTAGGCTCTTTTTAAAATTAAAAGCCTACCGTTAAAAACGCTTGTTAACACTATGCAATGTTGCAGAAAACTTGTCCACTTCATTTCCTAAGTACTAAAACTAAATTCCATTCCAAAAGAAGCAAAACTTGTTAAATAAAAATTATGTTTGAACTTTCCAGTTTAGTTCTATTGATATCTTTTGGTTTTTGAAACATAATATATTTAAACTAATGGAAAAAATGTTTAGTAAAATTATTTTTCCATCTAAAGGCGGGCTGTCGATACTATCACTGTATCGTCGGACGAACGACTTGAAATTTGTTTAAGAGAGAAAAGAGAGAAACGAAAAGGATACAAGCTTTTTTCTATTAAAAAAACCATATACTAACCGTATCTGTTATTTTCTTACAGAATTCTATGAGATAGCAAAACGCTTTTAGCGATGGGCATAAGTATGAATTTTTAAAAGCTTTTAGGGATATAAGCACGAGTAGGGGTATTGTTTCCGAAACCAATGGGCATGAACATGGATAATGGGTTTAGAAGAAGCATGGGCGCAGATGACTTGGCAGAGATGAGGTCTAATTGGATTTTGACCCTTTGATCTTTTTGACCGAGTTATACTCATTTTAGGCCATTCCAAATAGCGAACGATCAAAGATGACTAACTGACTATCTCACAGAATAAATTTCTTACGGTCTGAAAATTACTAAACCTATGTGAAATTAAACTCTGTATCGATCTACGCTGGAATAAAAAACAATATCATAAAACCTTCTTTATTGTATTGCTTAAGAATGTAAGCAGATCTTGATCAACAGCTGAAAAAGCACACATGATCAATCCAGAAATATATGTTCTACTCACATTAAATTAATAACTTTTTACGTTTGTTAGGGACTGACAAATGCGAACCTTAACATCTTTTCTGTTTTGATCATGACTATTTTATTCATTTATCATGAATTTAAGTTAAACGAAAACAACAATGCTAAAAGTATGATTACAAACAAAAAAAATTGTTATCTTATATCTACTAAAACAAAATGAAAAAACATGAGATAAGGCCTTCCTTTTAATTAACCTGAATATCCTCCATGTCCTCTACCGCCACCGCCATGATGATAATCTCCTCCACCATAATTAAAACCACCATCACCATGATGAAAATCTCCTCCACCATAATTAAAACCTCCATCACCATGTCTCCCATGAAAATCTCCTTGAAATCCGCTGTGATCTCGGTGTTCCCAATCTCCGCGATTCCAGCTAAAAGTTCAAAAATAATTAGAGTTTGAAAAGATGCGTTCATACTGGTGGAATGGCTTTAGTAGATTCCAGTTACATTCCGATTCTTGTTTTCATCTTATTGTCTTAATAAATAGTTTAAAGCCTTTTCGGGCATACATCTGTTCTGTGCGTCAGCTTTGCTTTTTCCCATAAGCACCTTTCAGAATCTTTTTAGAGAAACGACCAGATTAGGAACGATCTATATTGTGAATATAATATCCACTTATTAGGTCATTAAAGTCAATCGAAGTTGTAGAAGTTGCAGCAAAAATATACAAAAATAATATGAATTGGGAATGGGGATAGTGTATATTCCGGATGAAAAAACAAGCTGATAGCAGAAACACATCAGTTGTTTTCTACTATGGAGATAATGATGTACTCACCCGTCGTTTCTCCATCCTCCACCACCATAAAAGGGACCTGCCAATAGAGCATTCTCTACTAAAACTGCTGGCGGACAACATCTTCCATAAAAATCGAGGCAACATCCAGCTGTCAGTGTAACACAACATAAATTTCCATATTGACAACGTACAACTGAAGAAAGCAAAGATATACATTGATATTGAGTGTATTATGTTAATGGTCTCTCCAATTTTTTTCTTACCCGGTACTAAATATAATGCACTGATAAATAAATAAGATGTGAATAATATGTAATGATGCATTTTAAAGAAAGGACGTTTTTACACAAACTAAAATTAGAAATAAAAGGCAGCAAAAGTTTATTTGCATTACTCCATATGATCTAAGTCAGTCATAATGCGGCTCAACTATACCGAGTAGCCGAACTGAATGGCATCGATTCAGAAGAAAACTATGGAATTCTTCCCTCACCTTTGAAAACTAGGTTATTTAGCCATTTGAACAAATCATTCATTGATCAAAACTTCTCTTATAAGTTATTTAGTACTTTCACTTTCTTCTGGGTTTTTTTTTGCAATTAATATTCTCTTCTAAATCTCGAGAAAGCACAATCATGTCAAAAATTTGTATTATGACAGAAGTAATTCTATATGGAAAATGTAATTTGATATACACTGTTTATTGTTTAGAAATGCAGACAGTCTCTGTACTTACATTCTTGTAATTGTTTGTTCATTCACCACAACGCTTGCTTGTTACTGTAAAGCAAAATTTGTCAGCTTTGTCGGACTTCTTTTCTGACTATTTATATCCTTCGTTATAGAGAAAATATATAGAATAAAAAACAGAATAGTCCGTTCTGTTCAGATAGATGAAAAGTAAATCTACTATTTTCAAGAAGAGTGTAAAGGAAAAAGTCATACGGACATCACATGTGTTTTGTACACTTTATGATCTGCACTGTCACAAAGAAATTTCAAACACACACAAAGGATTATCTGTCTCTCGCTATAGTATAAAGTCACTGCTTTATTATTGAATGTGAAATACTAGGTAAGTATCAGACACGAAAAAAGAATTAAATCCAGTCTGAAAGTATTTCTTCTGATAAAGATTATATTTTGATATCTCTGTTTTCGAAAACTGCAGAGAAAGAAGAAATTTTGAAAAACATCGTTTGAGTTCTAGAAATATGAAACTTTAGACTTCGTTAAAAACGGATTAAATAAGTCAGATCTAGAATAAACTGTAGAGCCTATAGTTATTTTAAATCTAAGTTCAAACAACCTAATATTTGAATGTACTAAAGAGTTTTCGTGATAACTCCGTTATTATGCCCATGGACAAGATTAGCCAAAATGTGTCTGTTATCTGCAAAACATTGTATGTTCAAAAAATGTTTGACAAAAACGATTGTGAAATTCGATCCAACACATATAGAGTCTACAAGAAGAATAAAGCTATAAAACTGATCAAATTTCAATGCAAAGTTTTCATCCATCAATTTAAAGTCGCATTTAGTTTCAGTTAGGGATGTTATGAAAAAATTACCTTTTATTTACTGAATCCAAAGTTCAAAAAAAATCCTGTAAATCAACATTTCATCCTATTGTTATCCTACTGTTATAGAAAGAGATTCGTACAAAAACTCTGTTCTACTCTACGATCATTGTAGCAACAACGTATTAAATATTGTACAAACATCCGAAGTAAAACGTATATTAACTGTTTTTGGAGTGTTGATAGTTCAAACTAGGTATTATAACCAATCAGAGAAATAAACTAGAAGAAAACCGCAAAACATACGGAAAGCTATGACTTCTCTACGCTATAAACAAGCGTTAAGAGTGTAGAGTAGGTAGTAAGGAAAAGATGTTTGCCAGAAAGTCCAGCGATATTAGATACTTTTCCCAATTTCAATTCGAGCATCCTCAACGGAGTTATTACTATTAGATCATATGCTGAACAAACTAAATTCGGTTTCAGCATTGTCCATGATCTTGAGAGCAATTTCAGAAAAGTTTTGGGCTATGGGGTAGTAATTAGTCGATTACTTCGTTCATCTCGAACACGTTTATGTTTGGATTATAAAACATACCTTGAAGCAATTATAAATCTGTATAGGATATTTCTCAAACAAGGACATAAATGTAGAAATTTTATCAATGTTATCAAAAGTATCTTTTTCAAATATGACTCAAAAGTAAATTTCAGCTGATCAACTAAGAATCAGATATAAATAGTGTCAAAGCTTCTGCTTTATAACTATCTCTCTGCTGGCTGATCGATGCTACATCTAATACTGGTTTTGATGATGCTACAATATTACATTGTTTTTGTTATCATATAGCTAAATCTTGATAGAGTGATAACAGATGCATCTATACTGAATAAACCATACTCGGAAAATTGAGAATAAAGATACAATTCATTGGAATCTGATAAGATGTTTGATTAGTTTTTCTTGGTATATATATTTATCTTATTCAGATCTTGTTACAAAAGCAGCACAATATCGCTATACATTAAAGAAATTATCTTAACAACTATTACTAAGTATTTAGATGAAGATTTACAACTGGTTTATAGCTGATACTGATAGAATTTAACAATTATTTATTCAAGTAGATAGTGAAAATAATACTGTGTACATTGTAGAAGCCTATACATTAGAAACAGAATTTTGTCATCAATTAAATCGTGGTTTAACAACAACATCTTAGAATGTATTACTTAGGACAATCAAAACGTTCTGGCACTTCCAAAAAGCGCTCGGTCGGTTAATCTCTAAGAATTTCCTACATAGTTCCATATAACCGTTAGAAACCTTAGACTCTGGCGAGCAAGAATAGCTTAGACTCTCTCAGCACAATATTTCCAAATCTTTTCCTTTCAGAAGAAATTGAGCTTTTCTCATCAAGATGCCCGAACAAGCAAAAAGTCAAATATCTTTAATGAAATATCTTGAATACAATCCACCCGAAAAGAGATCTACTTTCATTTTGTAAAGAAAATGTGCTGAATCCAGTGTTTAAATCCACTTATGCAAAACTCTTTTACTTTTCGAATTATAGCCGTTTTACTGAACCTCTACGTGTCTGAGCGGCTAGATCATAAAAACTCGATTTTTTTCTGAAAAGAAAAGTCTTGAAAATATCCTGATGACAGAGTCAAACTAATCTTGTTTGCGAGAGTCTAAATTTTCTAACGATTATATGGAACTATGTAAGGTGCCGCTAATTCGAAATCATAGCAAGATATTTTTCATTTTCTTCTTACATGGTTGGAAAGAAGGTATGCGAATGACTATAAAAAATTTTTTGATTAAGTGGATTAAACTTTTCCCCTGAAAAACGAGCTCTGAAAACTTTTTAATCAACATATTCGTGATCAGCGTAAAATTCTGCATCGAATGGTTTATATTTCAGCCGAAAATAAAATAGCGCTGTTCCTTTGAATTTGAAGCGCTTTACATAAAAAATTTTGTAGGTAAAAATATTAAGCAGAGAGGAAAGAAAGAAGCATGGTATTTATCTGACATCATCTAGTAAAAGATGAAAAGCTGTTCTAAACAGTTAAAGAATATACTAGGAGCACCTTTGTTCTATAATCGCGTTTGGACGTATATATACGTCGCCGGGAGTCAAAGGGTTCAAATTAAAATGTAAAACATCGAATAATTGTCATTACTGATATGAATACGTATTTAATAAATCGCTTTACGCCAGTGTTCTATGTACTTCATACTTTGTTCAGTTCATCAGACCGAACTGAAACGACATTATCCTAGCGCTTTTTAGTTTTCTTATATATCTATAGATTATTCTATCAACAAGACATAAAAATACACAATAAATTTCATTTTGAAGGCTATCTGTCATAGTATGCGATGGATCGTCATTTTAAGGCGTCTGTCAAGGTGTATTGTGGAATCGGATCCAAAAATCTCCCTTTATACTTTAATACTTTCTTTTATTCCATGTTTTACAAAAATCTTCACAGTTTGTTAAGAAGAATTTGAAATCCAAACAACTTTATATCAATGCAAAGGATTTCAAAATCTTCTCTTATACGATAAATACTTGAGATGCTGTAGTTGTGAGTGTACTGTGCAAAGATTAGGATCGTGCATGAAAAATTGTTTTTAAGAAAATATCAGCAAAAACGATTCATTATTGCACGCAAGAAACAGTGGTGCCTTTGTGTAAAAAATAAAAATTCATTGTACATAAAATGACTTAAGATGTATAATCCATTTATTTTTGTCATTGTTAAAAGTGCACGATTCTACACGAAACTCGAAACAAGCATGCAATAATAATTCTTCCTCATCAGGTATGGCAGAATAAGACGATATATCGATAGCATCTTTGCGAGGTACGATATCGATCATAAAAATTGTATTGCCTCCAAAAATTTCAGCTACTATTGGATTGCGACTAGTAGAAGTGAAAGCCGGAAACATCATGTAACCACTTTTGTCCGAGTTTTGATATTGTTGAATTAACTCGTCAGTTAGAGTGGCTCCTCGGAAGACAGTCGTCTTGCTTTCACTACCATGTTCGGGCATTTCGTGGAGGAGAAAAGTAAATGGGCCAAAGGTAGGTATTTTACTATACCACAAATGTGACTTTTCCTTATCGCCATCCAATCGCATAACTTCGTTGATCTTCCGGAGCAAAAAACTTTCCATAGAGTAGAGACGAGCGCAAACGTTAACTACGTTTTCTGTGGGTCCGTCTTTTACCTTCAATAATTGTTCTGTCATCCATTCAGCAATCTTCTGTTTTCCTGCCATTTTGCCTTCGAGAATCAGACCCTCGGCTGCTTTCTTCACCATAAAGCGACAAGAAGGTACATCATCTAATGAAAATTCATCGTCTAAATCAAAGTGATTTCTAACGGCAAAAATAAAATTGGAGGCACCACTTCCCCATTGTTCAAAAGATTTGGATGGCCAAATATCACTGGGAATGAATCGCGCTTCTCTTATTTTTATCTTATCGTCCCGTTCCTGAATAACACGTTTAACGGGTCGTTGAGTCTCTGAATTGTTATTAGCTATTTGAACGAAATGTCTTAGATTGATATGATAATCATCCAGAAGGACTTCCGATGCTTTGTTTTGAAAAGCTTCTTCGATTATTATTGACTCTACATCTATATAAGGAGTCCACTGTTCCTTTTCTGAAGAAGACCACGGATCGGCATTCGATTTCCACATCCACTCAATGCGCTGTTGCTTTGGAGAAGAAGAGGCAGTATGTGCCATATTTTATATGAGCGTGGTTCTGAAAAGTCGAATGTGTTTGTTAGAGGGATAAAGAAGAGTTAACAAGTATGACAGACCCTAGAGATCAAATCTTATATAAGATTCCTATAGGAATCTTACAGAATATCTGCAAGAATCTTATAAGAATCTTATAAGGCAGTCGATGGAAATGCGTAATTTATGTATAAGAATCTTATATAAGAAACTGATAAGATTTCTATAAGATTCTGATAAGAATCTTATATTAAGGATATAGTACGATTTCATCACGTTCTTTAGTGGTCAGTACTCTATATTCATTCTATTTTCATACTATAATCAATCTACTGTTTCATTCGTGAATAAAATAATTTTCTTTCCGTTTATTTAATTTTTCTGTAATAAGACCGTAGTCCCACGTGGACAGTCTCATGACTTATCCTGACTGTCTACTGCTTGTAGACCGAATTTGCTTCCACAACTTCCACAAATCTATCATTTTTTTTTTTTGTTAAGTTAGTAAATATTTATTTTTCAAACACAACTAATTACAATAAATTTCAAACTAATTTGTACGTACAGTTATTAAATGAATTGACAACACAAGTGCGACACTTTCCCATGTATTGGTCTTCTGTGAGACACAGCATATAAAATAACTAATTTTGAAATTTTAATTTAATGTTCACGTTGTACAATGTTTGTAACTCGGTCATCCCTACCATCGTACGCAACAATTGCACGTAGTCGTACAGATTCGCCTGGAATTGAAACTGGTATTTCACCGGTAGCAAAATGACCTGTACGAACAACATGAACCAGGTAACCAAAGCGTTCTAATTCATTTCGAACGTAACTAATATGTCGTCCAATATATTTTTGTAATTCATAATCCGATAATGGAAATTTTGTGTATTCTCGGATTCCTTTCCCACCGATCACCAGTTTACATGCTTGGTAACATTCTTCTTTTGTACTAAATATATTATCTGTTTCATATGATAAACCAATACCACCATAGATGAATGGTTTGCAGTCATGTTCAAATTTATCATACCAAAAACGATCGAAACTTGCACGCCCGTCACCCTCCTTACCATAGAATGATTTACCATAACAATTTTTTGTTTTTTTTTGTTGTTCTTTTCCCAAATGTATGTAGTGGTATAACTAATCGGCAAGAATAACGTCAAATAATCCAATTCAATGATACCGTGCATACTACTCACAGCCACATAATTCACTGGTATGAAATGATATATGTTATCCATTATCGAATGGAAGATGCTTGACTGAAGATTGGAATAATCGGATAGCTAATGTCGGAGTGGGACGACGGTAATGGCAAATTGAGATGTTACTGCATAGCCAGATGCTGCGCAGATAGTTGCCGATTAGAAAGACCACGTTATAACGCACATGTGGCAGTGATGAGATCTCTAAAATGTTCTTGAGATAAATAATCTCTAACTCCGTTTTGTTTATTA